GTCAGCAGACAGCAAGAAGCCTCCCAGATCTCCAGATGCATTTGAGATATCAAAAAAGTACTCCAGAGTGTTGTTCAGCATGGGGGTGAGTAGAAAATGAAGGCTAATCATGTTTTGGGTGTACTATTCCTTTAAGTTTTAGAACAGTTGTGGTGAATCATAGGGGGCAAAAAGTTGACATTGTTTGTCTCCATCTATTCATTTTCTCGTTCAAAATGAGAGACAATGAAATCAAGTGGTTTTCCTTAGAAAACTTTGAGTTAGTTTGTATGATCTGGTTGAACTGTCTCTGCAAAGTGCCTTAAGATGACATGTGTAGTGAATTGGCACTATATAAATAAACCGAAGTTAATTTAATTGAATACACCCTCTTATCATTGCAGAGTTGTGGCCGTCTGCCTATCTCCAGTGTTCATTGGGTGAGAGGCAGACAGTACATTCTCCAGAACACACTATAATAGCAGTACACTTTTGTGGCACCATTATATTGTGGCCATTGTCTTTTGAGTGAGAACAGGGAACCAGAATGAGATCGACCGGAGGATGAATGGTGCAAAAATAAACAGCAACTTGAAGATTTTCTTTCCAGCAGAACTTTTAACACCATAAATCTATCATTACATTTCTACCGTGCTCCTGACCTTCAACCTGAGCATATGGAACACACTGTTAATCTGGATAAATGAAATTTATAATTTTCCTTGTTTGTGACACAGTTATTTGTAACTTCAAATGACAAAATCTGTGAAAAAAAGCAACATTTTTGTTCCACTACAGTGCGCAGCTGAACGAAAGCAGGGCATTGGTGTTACAATCAGAAATTAGTTGTTTTGTTTCGACATTGTTCATTATTTTTTATTTTTAAAGTCTTTGTCATACCTCTCTGGAAAAATAAAATTACTTTCTTTGTAACCTTAACTTTCTCAACCTTTACTCTTTGATTAACTTTCTTTTTCCCTTTTCATAGGCAGAAATCATCAAGACTTTTGTCAAACACGTCTATTGACGATCTTCAATTTCTCTTTTGATCCGTTCAGTCCACTCACCGACATATAAGTTGGAAATCATGATCTGGAATGCTCTGGAGACGCTCCTTAGCGGAGTAAACAAATACTCCACTGCCTTTAGCCGGTTCTGTTTCTCTATGGTGTTTGTCTTCCGGGTCATTGTGTTTGTGGTAGTGGCTCAGCGTGTGTGGAGAGATGAAAGCAAAGACTTTGACTGCAACACTGACCAGCCATTCTGTACCAATGTTTGTTACAACCACTTTTTCCCCATAACACAAACCCGCCTCTGGGCCCTGCAGCTTATTTTTGTCACATGCCCATCGTTCATTGTCACAGCTCATGTCAAATACAGGGAGATGAAGGATTTGAAGTACGCTAAACTACACCAGGGGAAGCACATGTATGCCCACCCTGGAAAGAAACGTGGAGGGCTTTGGTGGACATATCTGGTAAGAATTTCATGCACTAAAAGTAACAGTCATATTTGAAATTTTCTTTTGCCAGTTTTGACATAAATCCATTCCATTTTACAGCTGAGCCTTATCCTCAAGGCTGGCTCTGATGCTGGCTTCCTCTACGTCCTGTATTACTTCTGCAACGGTTATGAAATGCCACCCTCTAAGTGCTCCCTGTTCCCCTGCCCTAATAAAGTGGATTGCTATATATACCGACCCACAGAGAAAAAGATTTTTACCCTCTTCATGGTGGTCTCCTCTGCTGTCTGTATCTTCCTATGTATCTGCGAGATGATCTACCTATTCTTTAAACGTATCAAAAAGATTATGAAGAAAATGAAGGTGGCAAAAAGGACTTCATTTTTTATTGAAGAGAGTCACGAGATGACTCAACTCTCACGACCAATGTCGCTAAACAGGTCCAACTTTTTTGTCAGAGTGGATCCTACAGCATCAAATCAGAACATCACCAACAGTGTAGTGGAAGAAAAGCCTTCTAAGAGGTCTTCAACAGGGGGTCGGGGACCCACAGGGGGTCCACGGAGGTAATGCATAGGGGTCGCAAAAAATGTGGTTGATTAGACTTTTTGTTTTATATCCCCCCCTGCATTTTTTTCCCCACTAATTGAAATGTCTTTAAATACTCATTAACATGAAATCAACACACTGTAGTAAACAGATAGATGGAGGCAAAAGATGTCTTTAAGTCATCAATGCACACAATTCAGTGACACACACAAGCTCTTTCAAGCTTAGCACCATCTCATTCACAACACCTGTCCCATCAATGAGGAATCAGAATCAGAAATACTTTAACAATCCAAGGGCGAAATTACTTTTGTTACATTACTCCGTCTGTAATAGAGTGACTATAGGACCAGTTTGATATGAGACAACTTCATACAATATAAATATATAATTAGGGGGTCACCACTCCATCTTCCCATCAGTTTGGGGGTATTTGGCCTGGAAAATCGTTGAAGACCCCTGTTAGGTACAACAATTCCCAGTTTACCCAATCCTGCTGAAAAGCAAGAAGTAATCTTGTAGAGCGTTATTAACAAACTCAATGAAGAGGAACACCATTGCTTAAAGCGATCTTTGAAAGTGGATTTGTAAAACACCTCTATCAGTTTATCACATAAACTGATATTCAATACAAGCTCAAAATGGACTAATTCAAACAATGAAGTCTACGGTGGAATAAGACTTTTGACTTGTATGTTTGAGAAGAGCATTATGTTTGAGTGTCTTTATTTCTGGTTATGTGAAAGATGCAGGCTTTTAGGTAGCGATGAATATGGGAGTATATTGTACGCCCTTTAACGAAAAAAAAAATGACAAATTTTACGTCCTGTTTTACAGCTTTGGTACGCCTTAATTTTCCCCTGGAAACTTCGCTAAAATTTTCAAAATTTCCTAAGCAGCAGATCCTGAGTTGGAAAAATTCAACAAATCAGAAAAGTTTAACTAGGACCTGGCAGGGAGATGGACAGCGCTGCTGATAGAGATCGCTATGATTACTCCCCCTGAAACTGTTTGTTAATGCCTAAATTAACTTAAAATATTTAAACCTGCCAGCTAAATGTGTTCGCTTTTTATTATTCTGGTGGTTGCAGTTTTTACCATATACCTGAAAAATAATAACATCTACTTCGAGCTGCCACAAAATGTAGGCAGAAGAAAACCCTAAGAGGCAACATGGCCTGAGGCAGGTGCTGCTGGCGATTACCAGTGACAGCGCACCGTCGATATGTGAGGATCAGAGAGCCTCAGACAAAGAATTAATATTTTAAGGCAGGATCGTAATCTTGATGAACAGACTGCATAGATTATGCACAGCGCAAACGCTGAAGATGTGATACACCAAGCTGTGTGTACACCCTATGAAATATTCCTAGCTAAAAGCATAGTAAGAGGCGTAAATAATCAAGACCCAAAGACAAAGTGAATTAAGCTACTGACATGGAGAAAAGCAACAACCACTATTGATTAACAGATAAAGAAATTAACAATCAGAACACTTTGTTGAATAATACAGTGGGGTAAATGGCTTGAAGCTGGAATGTTTTCAAAACTGTCTTATCACTGTCTGTTTAATGAAACTGATTTTTTTTCCACAGAACAAATGTTGTAACTTCATAAACTGCTTTTAATACTACTTTCATAAGAGAAACGATCAATAAATACATATTGAGAAGGATTAAGAAGTGTTGAAAATGTTGTTGTGTTTATACTTTGTATTTATCATTGAAACAATAAATGCCTACATCATAAAATTGTTCTGACAGTTTCTTTTTAAACTGTGGGGAAAATATACATTCCACTTGAATAAAGAGAAGAAAATCACTAAATACACTATAGCCACTATAATTTTCTTAATTTTATTATCAACTTTATAGATTTAAGTTTTCTAAAACAGGCTGTAAATCTTTCTAAAGAAACACTGACTAATATGTTCCAAAAATAGATAAGAATTATGAAGATACATGTGAGAGTCAATTAATAATTGGGGAACTTGATGTTATATTTAATCTCAGGTTAAGATGTGGTCCAAAAAATATTTTATCGTCACTTCTTGGGGAATATCAGAGAATAAGTCAACCTGCCTTTTCTTGAAGTTTTTGGGATTTTTACACTTGCACAATGAGACAGGGGGTTAACATTTAAATTCATAAAACCAGTTAAGCAACAAGAATTATAGAAAACAGGAGACCCATAACATTTAGAAACACTAATATAAACTATTAACTCGTATTTTTGCCATTTCTCCTCACTCAGGTCCATCCAATATTATTTCATAGAAAAGTCAAGTCTTCTTATATATTAATATATATATATATATATATATATATATATATATATATA